AATGGATACTTTGAAAGATTGATACCTTGAAGATGCAATGTCCAAAAATTCTGAAATTTTTTATACAAGCTACTCTGATTGAGGCCTTCATTTGGGCAAAGTTTCAAGTCGAAATTCGAAAATATGATTTTGCTGTAGAACTAGGGTCCAGCAGGAAAAATCCACTAAAAATTCGATATCTCTGTCAAATCTCAATATGGGCACGAATCCTTTGGAGGTTTCTCTAATCTAGTGGTCCCCTACCTAATGGGCAACATATGAGCTCAAAAGCTTTTAATCACTTGGGAACGTACCCTCGTCAGGAAAAATGATTTTCGAATTTGAACTGGAAATTTTCACTAGAAATCATTCTTGTTAAGACCTGTCTGTATGCAAAGTTTCAAGTCAAATTTCAAAAATTAATATAGCTTAAAGTGTATTGAAAAAAAACATTTCTATGTGTGAAAGCTCTATTGTGTATTATGGCTCTCTGGAAATTTCTTCAATGGTAAGGTTTGAAGTTTTGTATATTTTTAAATAGTGTAATTTCATAAGTTGAATATCTTCAGAAAATTTCATGAAAATCTCACGCACTGTATTGAAAATCAATTTTTTCGAAGGGATCTTAAATATTATTGAAAAACATTAGTGCTTTACAAAAAATTCGATATTCTATTTGTTGTTTTATCAGATTTAATGCAATAGTTTATGGATTTAAAATAATATGATCCTTCTTTCATCTAATTTTTATATTTCACAAAATTCTTACCATGATTTTGAATAAGATATTCTTGACTAAATATAGGTGGGTTTTTTGTTCCTGATTTTTTCTTAAGTGCCGGTGGTGGTGGCATGATGATATTGTGTTAATATTCAAAGTATGGAAGAAGAAATACAAAAAATACCAAACTATCTAAAATACAAAAAACAAGCAACAACAACAATAAACTTATTTTTTCATTTATTTTCATAGTTGAATCATCAAAAACAAGCAAAGTATTTCTACATGCAAACAATAAACTTGATATTCTTTCATCAAAGCATATGTGAATATATTCAAGATCAACAATTACTTGATGCCATAGAACTCTCAAGAGTTATTCGATATCTTAACAAATATAAAATTTGGTTTTAAAAAATTTCCTTTTTTTCTACGTGATTGGATGGATACAGACGAAATGTAAGAAATTCTTGAACAAATATTTTGCCGGCTGTATGTATGGTCAAAGGCTAAAGAAATAAAAAAAGTTCTGACGATTTTGATATCGTAGAATGTCTTCGTTTCAAACAAACACTAATAACACATTTTTCCGAATGAAATGAAACAAATCATTTTGGATGTGGTTACACTAGAGAGGTTTTATGTGGAAAAAAACTGTTTAGCATTATGTGTGTTGAAAATTCAGTAGTAAAAAGAAACGAGAGGGTTGGTTAGCTGAACATATGCTTGCAAGTAATTAAAAATAGGAAATTGTTTTGTTGTTAATTAATTAGATTATGATTGTAACAAATCCCGATGGTATTAAGAAATATTTTGTTGTTACTTTTCCCGTGTAAAAAAAAGGTCACTAGGAAAAAATGATTTGTAATTTTTATGATTATTCTTGTAGCATTTTTGGTAAAACTAATTTAATTATGTTTCAACCAATGAGAATTTTCAGATATAAAATGGAACATATTGATAAGTAAATCAAGATTTTTGAAAGTATAAACAATATTTGTTTTTGTGTAGGTGATGATATTGCATTTGATATAAGTGAATCAACAAGTCCAGTTACATTAGGCAAGATAATGAAGGAAAGAATATTCGTTTTTGCTAAGATATGATGTATGAAAATACAATTGTTTACAAATATTACTGAAACAAGTGATAGTAATATTTATTGGGAAAGTATCGATGGAAAAATAAACGATGGTCAATTGATTTAGATTAACTAGCTGCTCATTCTAATACTCAGCATGACACAAAAACAAACTAAAGTCTTTTTTGTACATCAATTGAACGATGTTCAATAGTTGATTCGAAATAGAATGATCCACAAGATATATCATTAGTTTATGAAGCATTTAATTAGCAACATGATGTTTTTTTTTTTTTGTTGATGTAAGTGTGTGTTCGGAGGCTGCAACTGCCACAGAATTTAAAGGTAAAATAATTCGTTTTTGTGTTACGTTTTTCTTAAGCAAACAAATCATGCGTGATCCATTTGCAATGCGACCATTTTTTGATTATAATTTTAGTAATTATCTATCATATTGGTTATCATTTGAAGGAAAAATAAGATGAACTATATTTACCAAAAATACACAAAAACAAATAAATTTCTTTGATCAAGTTTCGAGTAAACATATTCGTATTATCGATTGGATATTTTCGTCGTTTAACTCAATAAGGTTCAGCATGAAAAACATCAATTGGTTTCATATCTGATTTAGTAGTAATGAAATAAATTCAATATTATTCAAAATTTCTATAGAATTTTGAAATAATGAATGTAAGAATATAAGAAAATGTCAATATAAATTTATCCGATAAAATATGATGAGAACAAAATGACCTTGAAAAACGTTTATCAATAGTTTTTTTTTTCTTCTTTTGATAAATCATTGATATCGGTAATCTTTTTTTTTTTTCTTCTTCTATATATACGAATATTTACTAATAAAACTTTTTCTTTTCTGTTATAGAAATAAAACATAAGACAATAGTTTTTATGTTCTTTCTTTTTTTTTTTTTTTGTTTTTTGAAATAAAGAAATGCACATTCTATTTAAGACTGAATTCTATACATACAAATGATAATCGTGTGTGCGTGTGTCAGTATTTTTGGAAAATTTTCAAGCATCACTTTCGGCTGGTGTTGAATGAACAATAGGTGATGGTGGACTATCACCATTTTTTAATGATTGACTTTGATTTGTTTTATTCGGTGATGTTTGTTGTTGCATTATTGTTGGTATATCTTGATTAACGCCATGAATTGGAACAATTAAATTATCTTTTGGAATAAGACCATAACGTAATGCAAATACAGTAAAACGACGACAAAGATGTGTACGTCCTTCAAATTCATCATATATTGGACGATGATGATAATATGCATGAGAAAATATTCGATAGATACGACGACATACGCTACCTAATTTAGCAATTGAAGTTTCTTTGATTGAGATTCTATAGTGAAAAAAAACAAAAAGAAATTATTATAATAATAAGTTTAAAGATTTGAATAGAATACTATCATATATTTCACAATAGAAAATGGATAAATATGAATGGTACGGGCCCTTATGTTGATCCCTGTTCTAGTCTTAACGAAACCGAGATTGTTTTTCACACATCTAATTTAATAGAGAAGATCGTTTTTGTTTAAGCTACGTAAGTCTAAGACTCCTAGCTTTTATTGTACAAGAGTTATAATAGTTCTCCAAAGATCTCTGATATTCGCTCGTTGGTCCTGAATTAGGTAAAAGTTAGGCATAGAGAGGTATAATGGACGACATTGAGTTCAGTAATGATACTCGCTTTCAATATCCAACGATCTATAATTTTTGTATTCAGAAGTTTGAAATTTTTCGGTTATACAATGTCAACACGTAATATTTTGAAATCTGAATACAATAATTGTACATTGTTTGAAAATGAAAGCAAACATCACTACCCGACTGATTGTTATAAATTACTACTATCGGTTTCAAATTATAGTGCGCGTGGTTGTTTTTTGAATAATTCCAGAATGGAAACAGCTGGAGACCTGCGGTTTTCACCATTGGACAGAGAAA